AAGACCCTGGCCAGCTGCCTGCCAGCTGCCTGGGAGTGCTGGGGCCTGATCATGGGCCTCTCCTGATGACCCCCATCATAGCTGACTTATTAGGGCATTAAACCTACGGCGTCCTGATGTGGGTATGGCAGGGTCAGTGGAGAGGTGGCAGGTCAGATGGGTAAGTCCCAGGACTTCCAGAATAACTGAGAGAATGCTGAGGCTAAGCATGGCCCGGGAAAGGCTCCGCTGGCGTCAGGAGACCCAGGCTCTGGTGTCCGTGCTTGCTCTCAGTGACAGGATTGAGGCCTTCACTGTCCCAGGATCTTGGTTTCTTCATTTACATATTTAAAGATTTGATCCTAATATCCTTTGAGTTTTTTTAGCTCCAATTGTCTTTGAAATTTCAGCCTGTGTCAAAGTTCATTTCATCAGTCCCTTCTACTCTTATACCCCAGCCCCTGGCAATTTGCCTGAAGATGGGGATTTGGAAATAACTTTATCTGATGTCAGGAATATCTGAAGCACCTACAGGCCCCAGTTCCTGCCTTAAGTCATGCAGTGGCCATCCTTGGGCTCAGACAGCCTGTGGCCTTCTGGTAGGCAAGCCAGCTGCTCACCCACTCTGGCTTTGCTTTCTCTGACCAGGACTGAGAAGGGCTAATTAAGGGCTGGTTTCTGGCAGGGTGTCCAAGGCTCAGAAGAAATTTGACTCGTAACCAATAAGCCTCCAGCACCCATGGCCCCAGGCCCAGGCCCACACCCCCAGTCAGGCCTCAGAGCGCATGTGTCTAGGAAGAATCTGGTGGCTGTAGAGAAATACAGGGAAAGATCAGTGTTTGGAAACGTCAAGTGTGTATATCCATGTAATGAGATTATCCCAAACGCTGGTGGGTGGATAGGCTGGAGGGCTGTGGGTTAGAGGTAGAGCCGGAGGGGTTGGAGGGGTGAGGCTTAGGCTAGGGACAAGGACAGCCCCAAGTGTAGGAAGGCCTGGCCTCCAGCCCTTGGGGCCCGTTGGAGAAGGACCCTCAGTTCTCCACAGGCGGTGAAGAAGACACAGCCTCTGCCCTCCTGCTGTAAATGACCTAGCACAGACTTCCAGGCAGGCTTCTTGTGTGTTTCCTCCACCATAGTGGCAGCACTTTCCCAGGCCTGACTCCCAGCATTGTGCAAGGCCGGGAGGAGAACCAGGAAGTGAAACTGGGTGAGAACAGAAAGCTAGATGGACCTGCTGCGTTCCCAGATCATCCTGGGGCAGTTTGCTTCCTGGCAGTTTCATGTCTTCTGGTCACTGGAACCCACTCAGCCCAGAAATCAGTCCCCCATCCCTCCCTCAAGGATTTTATCTCTACTGGAAAAAGTCTCTACTTGAAGGCAAAAAGTCTCCCCATGAGACTACACAGCCAGAAACTGAAGGCAGCAGCTCCCCCAAAGCTGGGAAATCCCTAGGAGGAGAAAGTCTGAGACATGAGGTGGAGTGACAGGGATGGTCGGGAGAAGGGGGCTGGTTTTGGGAGAATAGCCTGTGTGGTCAGGGAGGGAGGTGGCCTTGGTGAGAGCAGTTTGCATAATGCTTCTGTCTGAGTGCAGGAAGTGGTCCAGGGTAGAAGTTACACAGTCTCTTTCCTGGAGATTTTGTTGGTGGGAGCATTTAACCTCGTGCTTAGCATAGTAAGTCCTCAGTGAAACGTGGTTGAATCCTGAGCTCCTGCTGAGTCTTCCTAGGCGGTGCCTCAATAAGTGGTCTGTCGCAGAGGGAACTTGAGGGGATGGGGAAGGGGAGGTATCATACCTGGGCTTCATCCTTCATACACAAGTCACCATAGGTACAGACGCCTGCTTAGACCCCTGCAGCTGCCCAAATCTCACATGCCACCTGGGCTCGAAGCAGCCTGCTTCAGGCGCCTGCCACATCGCCCTCTGCTGGCGAAAAGCCTGCTTGGCGCTGTCTCCTGCCCCGCCCCCATGCAGGGATCCCGGGGACCTTCGGAGGAGAGGGGGGTGGGGAGAGAGGGCAACAGCTGTGTGAGCTCTGTGGTGCTCCTGTTTTGCAGGGACTATCCCTGGAAAGCCACACCTAGAAAGGAGTTTTCTGTGTCATCCTGGGAGGCAGCTTGAACCCACCTGCCTCTAGTCCCTACTCTAGATTCCCTCCTCAAATGGGGCCTGCACATTGACTGGAATCTGTCCTCATCCCCAGAATGGGAAGATCACCATCCTCTGGGATACTAGGGTCAGGGAAATGCCTTGGGGGAGACAGGTACTGAAAAAAGCAGAGAGGGGACTCATCTGGCTGTCCAGCCTAGAAAAATCCTTGTATTAGAGGTCCTCTTAGGAAGCCACAGAAAGGGCATCCCAATTCCATTTACCACAGAGGAACTTCCCGATTCCCTGCAGCTCCCAAGTTGGCCTCAGGCCTGGAGCCTGCTACAGTCTCCTGGTGCCACTACCGTGCTCTCCTTCCCAGAGGACCTCTTAGACCAGCTTTAGGGAAATTGAGTCCCTGGCATCCCACAAAGGCAGGATTTCCCCTTTTCTGTGCCTGTCAAATCCTGGTCCTTACATCCCTACCCTGATGTCCACACTATGGTTGAAGAGTGGGCAGAAAGGCAAAAGGAAAATTGCAGAAAATGAGTTACAAGAAGCCTGGCTGGGATCTGGGAAAGAAGAATTATCTCATTGCCCTCCAGGGTTAGAAGAGTCCTGGGGAGGTTACCATGTCCATGCCCCTGCCTCCATGAATAGCTTCAGGGAACCTGCCTGCCTTTGAAAGAAGAAAACCCATTGACTTTGTCGCGACCCTTCAGGGACCGAAGCAACATGCCCAAGGTCTTGATTCTTCTCTAGGCTTTATTGTCTAATCTCTCATGGTGGTTACAGCAGTTGTCGGGAAGCTTTTTCCCTCCCGGTGGGCTCCCTTATATTCAGTCACCCAACCAATCCGGGACAGTATCATGCGTGACCTTTAAGCGGATAGGTGTCACGCACCACTCTAAGCGGGCAGCATGAGCTGTGCACGGGTACGGAAGTCTGCTGGGCCAATCCCCAACAGGGAAGCAGGCGCCATCTTTAGGGCATTGTCCAGCTGGAGTGGGGCTCAGCCTCGGCCGTAGGCCGGGCCCCCCACATCTCCTCCTTTATTGTTTTATAACCAAAGGGCTGTCGGGATCATGCCTGTCTTAGGTCGTCCGGAGTCTGCGGCATTCTTACCCGTCCTCAGGCAACAGACAGCTTAGGTCTGCGCCCTGTCTTAGGTTGATATGCGCAGCTCCCAATCTTACCCGTCCTTGACTACTGATCCAGCATATTAAGCCATACTCTAGGGGAGATGC